GGATTGAAAGTGGAGGTTCTGCCTATAGTTTGCAATTCGAGCTTCATATCTACTGATTTTCCTGGCTATAGCTGTTATTTGTTGCTTTATTTTTTCCAGTGCTTCCTTGATCTTCCTTGTTTCTAAGTGGTATTTCTTGATTAGGTATTCTTTGGTCTTCTTGTTCTTCGGCTTCTTTTCTTTCATCTGTTCTAGCTTGCTTGCATGTGATCTTAACTTGCTGATCTTATTTTCTAGTCTAACCTTCCATTTTTGTGGTGCACTGTTTGCTTGTTTTTCTTTTTTGTTGATTTTACATCCCAGGTATTCTGTTATAACTGCAGCTGTGCTGTACATTAATTGGTTTGTTTCTTGCAGTGAATTGGTGCTTATACTTGCTATTGCAGTATTTGCATCTTTTAATGCTTGTGCTAGCTGTTTCTTTGAAACAAGCTTCAATGCAGGTAGCCTTATTCTGTTGTTTTTGTGCTGTTCTAGATGCTCAGTTATTCTTTGTTTCAATTCTTTTATTTCTTTGGTTAGAGGGTTTTGTTCTTCCTGAGGAAGAGGTGCCTGGTTTCCAAATGAGAAAGTTGTATATCTCTGCTGGATTCCTTCACTGCCAACTCCCCCTGGTTTGCCTCTACATTCTGAATTACTTCTGGTAAGGCTTTGATTTCTTTGCCCTGGGTAAGCCTTTGCAGTTCGTCCAATTCTGTTTCTGTGAATATTTTATTTCGTATTATAAATCGGTGTTGATCTGCTAATCTCTGTTCTGTTATTTTTGATTCTGGATGTTGTTCTTTCCAGAACTGGTGCATTTGTTTTAGATATCCTCTTCTTGTTGGACTTGATCTGTAGTAACAGATCATTATTTCTTTGTTTTCCATCACTGTGTATCTGCGACGGGTAAACACCTTTTCTTCCAGTAGTTCTGCAGATGCTGGCCCTGGTTGCTCAGCCAACAGTCCTGAGTCCTGTAACCCATTTTTCACCAGATATCCAGGAACTGCAATATCTAGTGCGGACCTTGTTAACCTGGGCGACGTCCGAGCCGGTATGGCATTCTGCAATTTACGCCTCACCATATTTTTTATGGGAGAGACACTCTTTGTCTGACTCCTCTGATGAGACCTGTCCAATATGGTTGAACCTCTGGCATAGCTCTCTTCTTCTTCTTCTTCTTCCTTTTCTCTTCTTCTTCTTCTTCATTCTCTTCTTCTTCTTCTTCTTCTTCTTCTTCTTCTTCTTCTTCTTCTTCTTTCTTCTTCTTTTCTTCTCTTCTTCTTATTCTTATTATTATTATTATTATTATTATTATTATTATTATTATTATTATTATTATTATCAATCATCGCACAGTCAGCCAGATGTTCAGACTGGATTTGGCATTTTGTCTACCTATCGAGTCCTTACCCAGGACCTGTTGTTATTATTATTATTATTATTATTATTATTATTATTATTATTATTATTATTATCTATGAGTGGCACCAAGAGCCATGGAAATATACATGCACTGCATTACAAGACAAGACTGAAAGACCTGCACATGAATTAGAGAACAAATGAACAAACAATATCATCAAGAGAGTTAAAGAATTGAAATGGAAATGGGCTGGTCACATAGCAAGAAGAACTAATGGCAGGTGGACCAAGGTAATCAAAGAATGGATCCCATTTGATAAAAGCATCCACAAAATAGAACTAAAACAAAATAAATTGATAATATCAGCAAATATTACAAGTCCAATTGGCAAAAGAAAGCTCAGGACAGAGGAGGCCTTCATCCCGCAGTGGATAGACAATGGCTAAAATGATGATGATGATGATGATGATGATGATGATGATGATGATGATGATGATACAGGTATACAGGCTGCTACATTATTATAAGTAGCTGCTAGTCAAGATAGAATGTCCTGCAGAATAGGCAATTTTATGGTTTTTAATTTAAATATTATATTTATTTAAAATAATATCACAATTGATCAAAATATGAACATTCCATTGCTAATGGTACCATGGTATACCTATGTCCTCATTTTTGTTCTGTTATTTCATCCAATCCACAGAATTCATATCTCCTTTACGGTACCATCTTATACTGCAATTCAGATTGGTTGGTAGCTTCCCAGGTTGTCATTACTTTGTCAGCTTTATTCCATTCCCTCGCGTTCTCTCTTCCATGATGTTACATTGTGCTATATTTATTATAAATTCCCTTGATACATGGTTTATTTTAAAAAAGTAAAAACTTTCAGCATACATGGGCACATGGATTAGTGTCCTTTACTTGAAGTGACTACTGTATATGAATTAATTATAGTATGCAGTAGCCTTTTCCAGTCTAGTGCTTTCCAGATATGGAAGTGAGTTCTTGAAGTTTCAGTTCCAACACTTTGAAACCTATTGCCTTTTGGATATTATCAAAGGTAAATGTGTATTTCTAGAGGCTTCAACAAAAGAAAGATCACGGAAGAGAGTATGTGAATGGTTTCATCTTATTTGGGATTCTTTGACATATATAGTTGCTGTTCCCTTGGATTCCAATCCTTTATGGAGAAATGAACTCATAGACTTTCAGATTACAGACTATACTCAATGTGTTAACTTGAGGAATTACTCTGGTCCCATTACAGAAAGTTAGAAATAGCATTTATGAAAATGGTAGATTCCTTTCAAATCACAGAAAAGTGAGTTTCATCTTTGGTAATCATGAATTTATACTGATAATTGCTAAAATGATTTTCCTGCTCTATTATATTTTATGCTAAAGTGAAAGTTGACAACCATACTGCAATAGTATTGAAGTTAATTTAACACAATTCAATTTCTTTAAGATATATTGGAAGGATTTAAACTAGGATCAGGAATGCAAACACTATTGTTGATTAATAAATCCATTGCAGTCCTTTAGTCATCCGGTTGGATTATAGTGGAACTATAATCAGAAAATAACTTAGTTAATTTCCCACAGTCATGTACTCTTGAGATTCTTTTGGAGCACTGAGATCAAATTTACAAAGATGTAATAAATATATTTCATATAGTTTCTGTCAAGTGTAGCACATTTTTCATCTCTAGAAAAAGTATGGATAAAAGTACATAAAGTTCTTGCTTTACTGGAAAAATATATAAGTATCATCTTGTAATGAAGTCCACTAAGCAAAAATGTGTAAGTGATTTACTATATTTCTGTGTGCAGTAATCTCTTGCTACATTGCTTAATTCCCTTATATAACATCCCTGGAATATTTCTTAAATCCTTAAAATATTATAGATATTTTCCAGATTGATTAAATAATCTCTTCATCACTTTGTGAATTATGCTGATATATTTATTAGAAAAAAAAATATCCCTATCATTTTAATCCTATCTGGTTTGATGTGCCACCTCAGGTATAACATTTTGATGAGTGTAGTAGTAGTGATTAGTATATGACATTAATAATGATAATGATAATAATAATGATAATAATAATAATAATAAAGTTGAAAGCGACTTGGAGGTCATCAAGTCCAACCCCTGCTCAGCAAGTAACCCTGTACCATTTCGGACAAATGGCTGTCCAGTCTCTTCTTAAAAACTTTCAGTGTTGGATCATTCATTACTATTTCTTTGAAAAAAAAACCTCTTTTATTTCTTTCATTGATGTACAGATTATTTTTAAGTAGCTGACATATTTTAAACAAATTTAGCTACCTTATAAAATGTTGTTTGCAAAGCATATTTAATCATAATTCAATATTGAGATTTTTTTTAAAAAATGACACCAGTCACTGGGTTGAATAGCAGACTGCTCTAATAGCAGACCATTTTAATATAGATTGGGTTATGATTTTTAAAAAAATATGTTCAATAAAAAATTGAATAATCAGATCAAAAAGTCAGAAAATGTTATTTTTCATTAGCAGACTAAGAGACTAAAAATATCAAGCTTTAAGAAATTAAATATATTTCTTTAGAGGTGGAAATTTCTATCAAAGTCATTCTTACACATTTTTGCAAGACTAATTTTAATTTAAATGTTATTAAATCCAATCATATATTTATTAATCTGGTTTACATGATACATCATCAAATTTGAGATGTAATATCCTATCTAAATCCAGTTATCATAATTTTAACTATGATTTCCAAAAAAACTTTCATAAAAAGCATAATTAATACTCCTCTATAATAAAAGTAACCTTGTGGGAAGATGGGCTGCAAACAAATGTAATAAATAAACAAAAATAAAGGAAAATAAAGAATTATAAGGAACCACCACACCACCATAATTGGGCTATTCTATTGTCTCTGTCTTCTGGTTTATATTTTCACATTCATGGATACTGAAAAGGGAATATGAACAAGGAAGAACAGCTTACTCCCACTACATATCAAATGTATTGATCTTTTTCACAATGTTTAATAATACATGAAGAAGCCAGTGATTTATAAAAATCAATAGTTACAACTTCATTTACTTTATGAACACACTACTAGAAATCCGAACACTTATAGACTTTAAATTATTTGTCAATGTTTCATGGCAAGAAGAAATTACAATTTAACTGTAAAATTATATTTTCAAAAAGTTTTATTTTGTTTCTTCCCAGGGACAGAAAATATCTCATGAAGCAATGAGCAATCAAACAATCTCTGGATTTCTTCTTCTTGAATTTACAACAAATTCAGAACTTCAGATATTGCATTTTGTTGCATTCCTGATACTGTACTTGGGAATAGTTATGGCAAATGTTCTTATAATCTCTGCAGTAATTTTTGACAGTCACCTACATTGCCCCATGTACTTCTTTCTAATGAACTTGGCCATACAAGACATTGGTCAAGTTTCAGTCATTATCCCCAAATCCATGATCAATTCTCTCAAGAATACTAGATACATTTCTTATTCTGGATGTGTTGCTCAGGTTTTTTTCCTTATCTTTTTCATGGGGTCTGATTTCTCTCTTCTCACAGTCATGGCATATGATCGCTATATTGCCATTTGCAAACCTTTACATTATGAGATGGTGATGAGTAGAACAGTCTGCAAGCAAATCATTGCTAGCACATGGATAAGTGGTCTTCTTTATGGATTAGTACACACTGCAGGCACATTTGCAAACACTTTTTGCTCTAATGTTGCCAATCAATTTTTCTGTGAAATTCCACATTTGCTTACTCTTTCCTGCTCAGACTGGTATTTTCATGAAATTTTAATTATTTTATTAAGTTGTAGTTTAGGTTTAGTTTGCTTTACCTTTGTCATTCTCTCTTATACAAAGATTTTGATTATAGTGTTGAGAATTCCATCAGTTCATGGGGAAAAAAAAGTGTTCTCAACCTGCCTTCCACATCTCATTGTATTTTCTATATTTATGTCAACTACAATGTTTGCTTATTTGAAGCCCAACACTAACATTGAATCACATCTGAATTTATTATTTACTATTATATATTCTTTAATGCCCCCACTACTGAACCCAATAATTTATGGTCTAAGAAACAAAGACATCGGACTTGCCTTAAAAAAACTATTAGGTTTCAAACCTTCTTCAGAAAAAAAGTAATGTCAATTTTTCAGCCTAATATGTTAGAGGCTGAAATAAAGGAATTCTTCATATTTCTGCTAATTCTTCTTTAATGTGATGAAAGCTAATTTGTTTTATATTTTGCTTCAAAGTCATTTAATTTGAAAACTAAAAACAAAATCAAATGTTGAATGTGCATATAGAAAGACATGTCAGTACTGTGTGATTGTAGCAGGAAGATATATCAGAAATTAATCTGAATCTTTAACTTATGTAAGTTTGGAAGTATTCTGAGTGCTAGTTGGTGTTGATGGATGCACTCTTGTAATCTTCTGCTTGTTTATCCTACATTAGTTGCTGTTACTGCCCTTACTCTGTATGTTTTGTATGACTCATTTTTTTTGGGGGGGGGAGAGACTGCTGGGTATTTTGCTTTACTTAGGGCTATAGCTGGTTACAAACAATAGTTTGAGTTCCTCTCACAATTACTGCTGATGAGTCCCATACCATCTATTCAATACTTGTGCATTTTGTTTTTCCTAACTAATTGTAAAACCTTCTTTTTTCATAACTGAATTGTATTTTATTGGATAGGTCCAGTGTTCAAGTCTCTCAAGGTCCTTCTGGATCTTGAACCTATCTTCTAAAATGTTGGCTATTCTCCCCAGCTTGGTATCATCTGAAAATTTGATGAGTTCCTTTTCTATCCCCTCATCTAAATTATTATGAAGATGTTCAAGAGTACTGAGCCTGAGACAGAACTTTGGTTTACCCTCTGCATGCTTCCCTTCATGTAGATGTAATCTCTTTGAAGACTGCACATTGAGTGTAGTTGATTAGCCAATTACTAATTCAATTGGTGGTGATGCTGTCTATCCCACAAGTAGGTTTTAGTTTACTTTGTCAAAATTATCTTAAGGTAAGATGGGCAGTCTATATATTAAATAAATAAATAAATAAATACTATGTCAGCAGCATTTCACTTTTCCACTAATTTAATTACTTTGTTAAATAATACAATGATGTTTGTTTGGCATGATCTGTTTTGGATAAATTCATGTTGGCTTCCAGTAATTTCTTTGCTTGTTTCTAGTTGTTCACAGATCAGTTGCTTGATTATCTTTTCCAGAATTTTCCCAGGTATTGATGTCAGGCTGATTGGTCTAGTTTCCTGGATCCAATTTTTCCTCCTTTTCAAATATGGGAACCACACCAGCTCTTTCCAAGTCTTCTGGTAGTTCTGCAATGCTCCAGGATCTTTAAAAAATATACTTCAGTGGTTCTAAGATCATTTCTACCAGCTATAGTGATGGCATGTGATTGTAATAGTCTATTGGTGGTTTCTGATATGTTTTTGATGTGTGGCAGTGTTATTATTTTCACAGCTTGTGTTGATTGTGCAATATTGGTTTGAGTGTTCAAGCACTTTTTGATAAAATTACATAGATATCCATTTTGTTGGAAGATGTTATACAGACGATCTCTTTTATTTTTCTGATATTCAGGATTGCTTCAATGTATTTGTGCTCATCTAAATAGCTTCTTTTGTGAAAAGTTGGATTTTATACTGTAGTGGAGCAGTTGGTTGGTGTGGGTAGTTTTATGATAGATTTCTGTTTCTAATTTGCCATCACTGATGAGGATATTTAGGAAGAGTAGAGTATTGTTAGTTTCTTCTTACCTTGTTAATTTCATTCCTTTGTCGATGTTGTTACAATGCATATTTTGTGTATTATTGTGATACAAGATAAGATTACTACCATGCTGGTCAAATACTGAAGTTAAATTCCTGATTGATTGCATGAAAATTCTCCCGAGCAATGAGATTTGTGGTTTCTCCCATCTTAATGTGTCTTTGTAACTTTATTCCACATGTTAACATAGTTATAAAGTGTAAGTCATAATTGTCATAGTGATACAATATTTTTATTATTATCTTTGCCTTCTCTTTATTAATCTTGACACCAGCTAATAGGCCAAATTCTTTAACATTTCAATTTCTTTAAAGGACTTTGAGTTTTTAAAGGTAATGGGAATAACTATTGTGAATCAATAAAACATCAAATGGAAAAGTGAAAGAACTGCCAAACAATACTCTTTTGTCATGGTATTGCAGTAGTATTTTTTCTCAGTGTCAAACCTGAACTACTTAAAAAAAAAATACATTAGTCAATTGGCAACTTGTTCAGAAATATCCCATATGAAAATGTTGTAGCCAAATATATTTAGAGTGGAAATTTTTGATAACTGAAATACTATTCCTTTACCAATAAGATAAAATGGATTTAGACACCAATCATTCTTCGTACCTGAATTTTTCAACTCCTTAATCAACATAAATTATTCAAGAACATTGTATTATCAGAGCAATCAATTTCTATTCATCCTTTTTGCTTTTCTTCCTAAAGAGAGCACAGAATGCCAAATCTTATCTATTATGACTCTGAGTTCCTGCTTCTGAAGTTATCTCAAGTTCAAGAGTTACAGATCTTACACTTCTTCCTCTTCCTAGCAATATACATTATCACATTGCTGGAAAATATTTTCACCATCATTTCAATTGTCCTTGGCCATCATCTGCACAAACTGATGTACTTTTTCTTAATTATATTATCAATTATTTATATAACTTCAATTTCATCCATTATACCCAAATCTGTGTTGAATTCACCCATGAGCAGAAATTTCATTTTGTATTCTAAATATGCCATTCAAGTTTTCTTTTTCTTCAATGAATTTGAGACCTGTCTCTTAATAGTAATAGCTATTACTAATCTATTATAGTATGAAGCAATAATAACAGTGGAAACTATATTAAAATGGTAGCCATAGTGTGGATAACTGGTTTGCTTTATGCCATATTGCACATGTAGTGTTACCTCCTCAGAGGCCACCAAAAACCAGGCCCTCCCAGCCCCGTCCCTCTTTGTCAAGCCCTGCAGTAGTGCTCTCTAGGGGTTGATAAGATATCTCTTCCAGCTGGAGCTCATGCAGAATTAGTGGGTAGTAGGATCTTGTCATCAAGGAGGGGCTTCTAGGAACAAAAATAACCAGTCATGATAGTCAATGCTATGATGGTATCCAATAGCCCAAGTCCGTTATAGTGGGATGGAGGAAAACCCTGGCTCCAGACGGTAGTAGAAACAACAACATTCAGTGTGTTGTAGCAATAGCTCGTCCCCCAGGGCAACTCCCCCACAATGTCTAAAACCTGTACCAGCAGCAATAGTCACAGTCCAAATAGCCTTCAGGCTTCGCAGCAACAGTAGCCACCACCAGTCTCTCCTCTCCTTCTGTTGTTTCTTCTCAGTTAGGTTTCAGCGTCAAAGCCCTCCCCCCTTTATCTTTACTGTTAAAATCTGAGGCTAGGAGCCTCAGCCAATTCCTTTCTACACATTCCCCCTTGCCTCCGTTTGAGATATCCTCCTTACGAAGGAAGCAATAAAACTCCACTCTCTCTCTCTCTTCCATTTGAAATATCCTCCTTACGAAGGAAAGCAATAAAATTCCATAGAATTTTATTCTTCCTCTCTCTAGCCTCTGTTTAAAATATCCTCTTTACAAAGAAAAGCAAATAAAACTTCCACTCCCTCTTTACCTTCATCTGACAAACTGCAACAGCCACCCCATCCCTTTCCTTTCCTTCCCTTTTCTATCTTTTCCTTCTGCCCATGCTGGCCACACCCAAAGCCAGCAGCAGCTGTCCCAATCTCTCCCTTCCCAATCAAGCTCCTGTAAACACTCTCAGACAGCCCCGCTACACACACAAGCAGTATATTTTCAATAACCTTCTGTTCAAATAAAGATGGCCATTTTTTCTGTAAAATACCTAAGCTACTGAAACTTTCTTCCTCTGACCTATACCTAGTTGAAGTTGTTCTTCTCGTAGTAAATTCTAGCCTAGGGGTGGGATGCTTTGTCTTTACCTCTACAAGTTATGTATGGATCTTCAACATTGTACTTCAAATCCCTCCTGTACAGCAAAAGGTCCCGTCCACTTACCTCACTGTTGTTTTACTGTACATTTGTATTGTTTTTTGTCTCTACTAGATCTCCCAGCAATAGTTAATCTTATTTAGACTTAGTTTTTGCCATAATATGTGATTATTTCTCCTATGATGAAGTCATTCATTTATAGGATTAGAAATAAATAGTTTCAGTTTGTCTCATGTAAATTCTTAAATGCTAGAAAACTGTTTAATGCTCTTTCCATGTTTGTTCAAAAATTATTGGGAAAATTATTTTTTCCAAAAGACCTCTCACTGCATTATATGTATATTTCATAGTTTATTCTGATATATAGTACAAATTGTTTGTAGGCATAACTAGTATATTTTGGGCACTAATTAAACTCAATATGAACCCTACTTAATTTGCAAAGTGGAAAAAAGGGAGAGGAGAGGAGAGGAGAGGAGAGGAGAGGAGAGGAGAGGAGAGGAGAGGAGAGGAGAAGAGAGGAGAGGAACTGTCTCATGCCAATTATATTGACTTGTCCCACCCAATGAAGCAGAGATGGCATGCTGTGAATCCCATTAGTTAAAGAATTTTGACCAGGATGTAGGAGAAGATTCTGTTGTCCCCATCCTTTGGGGTATCTTTCTCACAGAAGTGAGGCAAGCCTCTACACTAATGGTTTTCTCAAAGAATATTAAAATATGGCTTTTCCAATTAACATGGGATCTTAAGATTATGATGTGACCTGGGGGATAGCTGGTGGTTTTAGGGCACCCCTCCATCCTTCAGCCTTCTAATTTTTTAAATCCTGATTTTCATTTTAACTTGTAAATTTTAATCTTGTTCTTAATTCTGTTTTTAACTATACTTCTTAGTCACATACTTACATTGTTTTATTATATTGATGTCCACTATGTGTGATAAAATATATTAGGGTGGAAGTTGATCTACACGGGGCTAAGACTTTGTTTGATATTGGGAATTTATGCCATAAATGAAGATAATACAGCATTTCATAAAAGACTGACAGATCAACTTTTTGAATTTTCATATGAAAATTGGTGTCTCCTAGGGCAAGGGTGTCAAACTGCCAGCCCATGGGCTGGATGCATCATGCCAAAACCATGTCCACCCCAGCTCCAGCAATGGGAAAAAAGTCATGATACGTTGTGACATGTCACGTGACGTGGCAAGTTTGACACCCCTATCCTAGGGGATGAGAATATTGTGGTTTCTCCACAGAATCCATTTAATTGGCTCCTGGCAAAGCTTTCTGAAAAGCAAGAACTGGACACAAGGTATAATGAATACTAGGTTACAGATAGTCTTTGACATACAACCATAATGGAGCCTTCCAATATAGTCATATGTTATGGCAACCATAAATTGAATCAATCACATAAATGACCCAATTTGATGATCATTTCTGTGGAAGCTATTAAATGAATGCCATGGTTGTTAAGCTAACCCCCTTGTTCGCTATGATGTGCTTTTGCCAAAAACTGAAAGTACATTCTGATTTTTGACAAAACCATTGAAAACATGTTCATGTGACCATGAGATGCTGCAAATGGCCATAATACAGTCATGTTGCTGAGTGCCCAAAGTGCAGTCATGTGTTCAGTTGAACAATCATAAGAACCTTGAAGGCTGAAACTCCCTATCTAACAAAATGAAATTCAATGGTGAAAAAAGTAAGGTTCTACATTTAGGCAAGAAAAACCAAATGTACAGGTATAGCATAGGGGGTACCTTGCTCAATAGACCTCGGAGTCCTCGGAGTCTTCGGAGACCTCAGAGTCCTAGTGGACAATCACTTAAATATGACCCAGCAGTGTGCTGCAGCTGCCAAAAAAGCCAACTCAGTGCTGGGCTGCATTAACAGAGGGATAGAATCAAGATCATGTGAAGTATTAATACCACTTTACAATGCCTTGGTAAGGCCACACTTGGAATACTGCATCGTTTTGGTCACCATGGTGTAAAAAAGATGTTGAGACTCTAGAAAGAGTACAGAGAAGAGCAACAAAGATGATTAGGGGACTGGAGGCTAAAGCATATAAGGAAACGCTGCTGGAATTGTATATCTAGTTTAATGAAGAGAAGGACGAGGGGGGACATGAGAACAGTGTTCCAATATCTCAGGGGCTGCCACAAAGAAGAGGGAGTCAAGCTATTTTCCAAGGCAGGACAAGAAGCAATGGATGGAAACTAATCAAGGAGAGAAGCAACCTAGAACTAAGGAGAAACTTCCTGACAGTTAGAACAATTAACCAGTGGAACAACCTGCCTCCAGAAGTGGTGAATGCTCCAACACTGGAAGTTTTTAAGAAGAGACTGGACAGCCATTTGTCTGAAATGGTATAGGGTTTCCTACCTAAGCAGGGGGTTGGACTAGATGACCTCCAAAGTCCCTCCCAACTTTATTATTATTATTATTATTATTTATTTTTTTTTATTATTATTATTATTGCTATTGTTGTTGTTATTTTTATTATTATTGATATGTTGACATTGAAAACAGTTGCTAAGTAACAAGTTGTCAGTCAAGGTCTATTGCACCCAAGTTCTTGAGTAGAATTTTTTTTCCTTGGGATGGTTTGCAGAATATTCACTGGCATCAGTTTTAGCTGTAGTGAGCATATCAGCATTGGGGATGGCTGCAATTATACATCTGAATTTGTTACTGTCTGTTATATGGTATATTCAGAAAATATTCACTTTTGCCAATTTTGTTATACTGCAGCCTGATTCTACAGTTGTTGAAATTCATTTTTATTTCATTAATCTATATATGTCATGTCTCATACAGTATAAGGGATGCACACTTATCCTATAGACATGGCTTTTTAATAGGGATCAGATTAATATATTAGTGAAGGAGACATATTAATGAGTGCTTCCATGGGGAAGCATTTGTTACATTTGAAAGTATAAATAGGATATTTGATATTGTATCTGGGGATAACTCATTTCTATTCCTATCTATTTGATCATTTCTTTTGTGGTTCCCTTTACTTGACAAGCTTCCAATTGAAATGATGTCTCCATCTTTTCTTTAATGTATATGCTACTCCAGCATTAATGTAATGATAGACATATGAAAGTCTTAAAAATGTACTTTGGCCTGTGCAGATCATGAATCAAGCACTTAAAAATCTATATATTACATTATAGTTATGTTGTATTGTGTTGTGTTGTGTTCTTCTATAGTTTACTATATTATATTATATTTTAATGTCATCTACATGAGTTTGCTTTGAAAAACAATCCTCAAGCTTCAACTGGTCCAGCAGTGGTGACTGGACCAGTCCGTGCCTTTTGAGCTGCACTGGTTATCAGTTTAGTTCTTGATATGATTCATGGTGCTGGCCATTAAAGCCTTACATGCCACAGGCCCTGATACATGATATATGAACTGACATTAGATTCAGATGAGTTGTAGTGCTCTTTGATCTGAAGTGGGTAGAACAGTGCAGTGTCCTATGATTAATTTAAGCATTTTGTTGTTTAGGTGTCAACACTGGTCTCTGAAGCAATGAAGGACCAGAAAAATGCAATGTGATCTTACTTGTGAGTGGAATGACATTGCTTATGTGGATTTGGGGCAGGAAGACCAAAGCAATGATAAATATGTGAGAGCTACTTGGAGTGTTCAGCATTATTTCCCGATGATTTCCTGCCTTTCTAAACCTTGTTGAGCTTGATATTGCTTTACCATTGTCATTAAACAAATAAGGAATACCTGAAAAATGAGGACAATCTAAAATAAAGACACTACACATGTATAAAGAAGTGGGCTGTGATTTGGGTTTATGATCTTAGCTCTTTACATACATGCACCCATGCATGCATGCATATACACACACTTACACACACACGCACTGGGTAAGACACATTCATTTGAGAATGAATTTTCAACAACAAATTAAATAAAAAAGAAAGGACTTAATGTTTCTTGGTTTTTGCTCATGGTTCTACAAACAAAAGCAAAACTATATTTCATTTGAACTTGATTTTAAAGAGGCAACACTTCATTGAACAGCTGTACAGTAAATTTAGATCACACATCCGATTGAAATAAACAATTGTCAAGACTCTTCTGCTATTAAAAAGAAATATTGGAAGCATAATCACTTTTAACCTAAAAGTCAAAGAAATTTCTGCAATTGAGAAATAGCTTTTTGATAGAATAGTTTTCTGCTGTAATGTTCACTAATATTTAATTGGGAATTACATGACCATAGTAAAAGTCAGCAAGAGAAATGATGTGATTGTCATTACCAATTATATTTTTATAGTATGGGTTGTACTGTGTAGAAAATACATAGCACAGGGTATTTTTTTTAACTCTGACCATAAATGTGAAAAACATACTGAAAACAATTAAGAGATGAGGCAATGGGACCAAGAATAATTTAACCCAATAAGTTTATCAATAACAGAAACTATGTATAGACCAAGCTTTTTTTTTAATGAGGAACTATTTTTAATTATTTGTGGTGGACTCTTGGGTATTGAAGTCATGTCAAAGAAGCTGAATCAAAATCAAATTCATTTACAGATGCAACAAATCCTTTAAATCCCATATTGATTGGAAGAAATAATACTTAATAATGTGGCAATTTTCAAAGGAATCATAAAAACGCTTCAGTGAACAAAAAGGCATGGCTGAGTTACCAAAACCAGCATTATCCTAGAACTGCAAATAAATCTTAGTGAAATTTGCAAGTAAAGTAAGTAAATACATTTATAATTTATTATTTTCCTTGTCATCAATCACCACATCACAATATAATGGTCAAGACAAAATACAAGAATGTTGCTAGTTTTCCATCAGACTTCATGTTTGAATTGCACATCAGATTTATGGACTCAGATGTGGCTGCTTATTAGTCTACAAAATAACTCTGAATTTGATAAATCAAATTATTCAAGTTGGACTATGACCAAGCAAAATAAGGGTAGAGGACATTGAGAGGCAAGTGGGCTTAGGGAAAGCTCCATCGTTTCTGTCTCCAGACTATATTAGATATATTGTTATTCCTGCCAGTTATCTTCGCCAGTTGGAGACAGTGAACCACTGGAAAGCATTTTCGCTTTCACGGTGCCATGTACTTCCATCGGCTGTCCTGCACAGTAAATATATATAAAAAAAATACATTGACAATAAGACTCTGTTCCTGTGATTCAGGAGAGGTGGATATCAATGGGCATATACTCCTTCAATGCTCTTTCTATAGAGATATTTAAAAAAAACCCTTCCAATAATTCATAGGTACCTTGCCATTCTGACATTGCTTATCTCCAGTTGCTGCTTAAGGATGAACAGATTGTGATTACAGTGCAGATAGTTAGATTCTGCACAGCAGCACTGGGGATTAATTGGGAACATATGATTAACCCACTATAGCTATTTCACACAACTAATGCAGTAAATCCTTTTGTATTACTATTTTTTTGTATTTTAGTATTTAATGACTAGGAGTCTCACAGTTTAAGGATTGATATTATAGTATAGTTAGGCAAAGCTGTGTTTTGCTCATGTGTACCTGATAGATTGGATGCCAAAGTGTGATTTTAATATAGATTTTATCTGTTATTTATTATTTTATTCTAGGATTTTTAACTCTGGTCAAAAATTAAACCATGCTGAAAATTAAATCCTGACTGATTGTATGAAAAGTCTGCCCAGCAATGATTCTCTCATCCTAATATATCTTCATAGCTTCATTCTATGTTTTAATATACTTATTTTGAAATAACATACAATTCATAACTACCATATGATATTCAGCTTTGTTACCTTCTTTTCAATCTTAATATTCATCTTTGTTATCTTCTTTTCAATCTTTTATTTATCAATTGTGTTTCATATTCTACTTTCATATTTTTATTTACATCTTGTCTTCTCTTTATTAACCTTGAAACATGATAATGCACCAAATTAATTAATGTTTCAAATCCTTTTAAAGGATCTTGGCATTTTAAGGATGATTTTTTAAACATACATTAATCAATTGTCAACTTGTTCAGAAATCTCCCATATGTAAACAATATAGTCATATACATTTAGAGTGAAAAATTACAGTGTCTGAGATACTGTTCCTTTACCAAAAAGTAAAAACTGATTTAAAGATCAATTGTTCTGCTCATCTGATTTTTTTAACTCATTAGTTAATATAAACTAAATGATTCAATTTAAGGGCACTATATTATCAGAGCAATCTTTTTTTAAAAAACTAATCCTTCTTCTTCTTCCCACAGAGAGAACAGAATGTCAAATCTTACCTCCAATTCTGGATTCTTTCTTCTGGAATTTTCTCAAGTTCGAGAATTACAGATCTTATATTTCTTCCTGTTTCTAACAGTATACCTGATCACCTTGCTGGGGAACCTTTTCACCATCATTTCAATTGCTCTCGACCATCATCTGCACACACCAATGTACTTCTTCTTAATGAACCTGGCAATTATTGATATTGGTTCCATATCATCCATTATACCCAAATCCATACTGAACTCACTCATGAACAATAGTTTCATCTCTTATTTTGAATGTGCCATTCAAGTTTTCTTTTTCTTTTTCTTTGATGCATCTGAGATCTTTCTTTTAACAGTAATGGCACATGACCGTCATGTTGCTATTTACAATCCATTACAATATGAAACAATAATGAACAGTGGGGCCTGTATTAAAATGGTAGCCATTGTGTGGATAACTGGTTTCCTTTATGCCACACTGCATACAAGTGGCACATTTTCAATAACTTTCTGCTCAAATAAAATTGACCAATTTTTCTGTGAAATCCCTAAACTACTGAAACTTTCTTGCTCTGACCTATACCTAGTGGAAGCTGTTCTTCTTGTAGTGGGCTCTAGCCTAGGGATTGGATGCTTTATCTTCATCATTACAAGTTATGTATGGATATTCAAAGCTGTACTACAGATCCCTTCTGTACTCGGACAGAAAAAGGCCCTCTCTACTTGCCTCCCACATCTAATTGTAGTCTCAGTGCTTGTTTGTTTGGCTGTTTTGGTCTATGCCCGACCTCCCAGCAATAGTTCATCTTATTTAGACTTGGTTTTTGCCATGATATATGTGATTTTTCCTCCTATGATGAATCCATTCATCTACAGCTTTAGAAATAAGGAGTTTCAGAATGCCTTGTGCAAGTTCTTAAACCTTAGGCAACTTTTCCACATTTTTTCCAAGTTTTTCTAAAATTATTGGGATAATAGGTTTTCTTTTCCAAACAGCCCTTCTCCCTATATTATATACTTCATAGTTTATTTTAAAATATATCTATTGTTTGCTTGTAGGCACAGCTAGTATAGTTTTGATAAAAATAAACAATATTAATTATACATAATGAGAAAAATGTGAAAAAGAAAGGAAAGGGGAAGATAGGAGAAGAGAAGAAAACTTTTGTCAGGCAAGTTATTTTTTATTTTATTTTTATTTTATTATTCTATTCTGTTATGTTCTGGGTTTACATTTACATACTTCCACAAGTTGCTAGTTCAAAATTGAAACAATGCAGCATAATTAAATACAATCAATTTAATACAATACAATACAACACTTTATTAGTTTAAAATAACACTAGTTATTTTAAAGGATGTTACAGTATATTTAGGATAGGCGGAAAGGGCAGAGAGAAAAGAAGATTTTAAAACAGTGTATGATTTTTGATAAATCACAGTGGTAGATCTAGCAAGTTGATTGTTTATTTGTTTGGATTTTTTTTCTTAAGTATTAAAATCAGTTTGGACAATCATTTGACAAAGGGAGTAATATAGAAGAAGAATGCTATCCCACTAGAGTTTTTTAGTTTGTTTGTTTATTTGTTTGTTTGTTTCAATAGATGAGTTTTAACTTTAGACAGAAAACAAAGCAAGGATCTCAGAAAATATTCAGAAATGGTTTATCAAGTTATTTGATAATATTTGTTAGTCATTTTTCCTGCTACTGTATTAAAAATGAACAATTAATACTTATCCTAAAGAAAGTGTACCAGCTTTTTCTCATTCATCTCCACTATGAAATTCAACCTATGTATTAGTTTTATACAATGTGCAAAAAGAAACTGTTTTTCAATATTAAAATAATTATCAAAAGTTCTTCTTAGATTAAATAAATAAATGTTATTATATTTAAATGGCTGACTTCACTGAAGTAGCATTTCATCACATCATATATACAAGATTACATTCTTTATGCTTTTTTAAAGTGAGTGATCTATTGAAATACATATATACAATGAAAAAGAAATAATTTCTCCTAAAACATGTTCGATTGTTAAATATATTTCTATTCAACATTAAGTTTCAAAATGTTTGTTTTAAAAAGTCAGACCACTGAAAGATAAAGTGATGCAGCTCCAGTCATAACAAATACTCCCAGAATTGGGAGTAAAGCCACTGAAATTCTAAGAATTCTCTGAATACTGCAGTATCCAGAGGAAGAGATGAAATGCATAATGAATGAAACATTAGTTACCTTTATCTTAAACAATAGAATTATTGTCTGCACTGCACACTGCGAGTTACTTCTGCCATTCTACTTAAATACCTTTGACAATGCTTCAATCAGCAAATAATGCTTCAAGTCAGTGAAGTAAGAAGGGAATCTTCATATACTTTATTCTGCTTTATATTCCTTGAAAATTATAGCATATTCTCAAGTGCCCTGCTAGATTCAGATGTGCAGGAGAATATCTCCAATTTCAAGGTATGTGGGCTAGACTATGGTTTTGATCAGCAATTGTAAATAGAATGCAAACATTATCTTGCAAACATTATAGCCCGAGCCTGCAAAGATGAAGTGAAGAAAGCCAAGGCTCAAAATGAACTAAGGCTTGCGACCAAAGTCAAAAATAACAAAAAAAGCTTCTTTCAACATGTAAAAAACAAGAAAAAAGTGAAGTAAATGATTGGTCCATTAGTGGGTGGAAGTGGCAAGAAGGTGACAAGCAACAGGGAGAAAGCAGAACTATTTAACTCATTTTTTGCATCTGTCTTTACACAAAGGGAAAAAACAGACCAACCTATCAAAAATAGTGCCATAAAAAACAAAACAGAACCACAAGTTAAGATAGGCAAGAAAATCGTTAGGGAGCACCTGTCCAGCCTAGATGGGTTCAAATCGCCAGGACCAGATGGATTACACCCCAGAGTTCTCAAGGAACTGGCAGATGTGATATCGGAGCCACTGAACTATATTTTTCGAAGATCCTGGAACACAGGGGGACTACCAGAGGACTGGAAAAGAGCTGATGTAGTTCCCATCCTCAAAAAAGGAAAAAAAATGGATCCAGGAAATTACAGATCTATCAGCCTGACCTCAATACCTGGGAAGATCCTGGAAAAGATAATCAAACAATGAATCAACGAACACCTAGAGGCAAACAAAGTCATTACTAAAAGCCAACATGGGTTTGTCACAAATAGATCATGCCAGACAAATCTTATTGCATTCTTTGACCAAGTGACAAAATTAGTGGATCAGAGGAATGCTGTGGACATAATTTACTTGGACTTCAGTAAGGCATTTGATAACGTAGATCACAACCTACTACTTGACAAGATAGAAAAATGTGGGGTAGACAGAACCACCACCAGATGGATCCGTAGCTGGCTGACCGGCCGTACTCAGCGAGTGGTCCTCAATGGAACTGCATCTATATGGAGAGAAGTGTGTAGTGGGGTGCCCCAGGGCTCTGTTCTGGGCCCAGTACTCTTCAACATCTTCATCAACGATTTGGACGAAGGGATAGATGGGGAACTCATCAAATTTGCAGATGACACCAAGCTGGCAGGAATAGCCAACACTCCAGAAGACAGGCTTCAGGTACAGAAGGATCTGGACAGACTTGTACACTGGGCACTAACTAACAAAATGAAATTCAATGGTGAAAAAAGCAAGGTTCTACATTTAGGCAAGAAAAACCAAATGCACAAGTACAGCATAGGTGGCACCATGCTCAATAGTAGTAACTGTGAGAGGGACCTCGGAGTCCTAGTAGACAATCACTTAACTATGAGCCAGCAGTGTGCTGCAGCTGCCAAAAAGGCCAACACAGTGCTAGGCTGCATTAACAGAGGGAGAGAATCAAGATCACGTGAAGTACTAATACCACTCTTCAATGCCTTGGTAAGGCCACACTTGGAATACTGCATCCAGTTTTGGTCACCACGATGTAAAAAAGATGTTGAAACTCTAGAAAGAGTACAGAGAAGAGCAACAAAGATGATTAGGGGACTGGAGGCTAAAACATATAAGGAACGTTTGCGAGAATTGGGTATGTCTAGTTTAACGAAGAGAAGGACAAGGGGGGACATGATAGCAGTATTCCAATATCTCAGGGGCTGCCATAAAGAAGAGGGAATTAAGCTATTTTCCAAAGCACCTGAAGGCAGGACAAGAAGCAATGGGTGGAAACTAATCAAGGAGAGAAGCAACCTAGAACTAAGGAGAAACTTCCTGACAGTGAGAACAATTAATCAGTGGAACAGCTTGCCTCCAGAAAGCAGTAAATGCTCCAACACTGGAAGTTTTTAAGAAGAGACTGGACAGCCATTTGTCCGAAATGGTTTAGGGTTTCCTGCCCGAGCAGGGGGTTGGACTAGATGACCTCCAAGGTCCCTTCCAACTTTACTACTATTACTTACTATCTTTCATAATCTTTAATAAATAGAGAAAGGAGTGACATCTTTCTCATTAACTATGAGTTTTTAGCATTCTAAACTCTGCCATTATAATAATGAGATTGCAATAAATAGAGCAGAAAATGTAGGTATTTTCCAAGTATTTTAAATGTCTTTCCAACAAAACACTTTTTTCCCATTACATAAATGAACACAAATCATTAAAACCTAACATACAATCCAAAGTACTGCTATAGAACGAAAACTATATTGATCTTGCCCTAAAAATATATAACAATTGTATTTCCATAACTGAGGAAAAAATTATAGAAATCTGATAGTAATGCTTTTTTATGCATGTTGTTTAAAGATGACCCATCATTGAAGAATTAGTGCAATCATGAATTTTCTAGAAATTGGGCAAGTAATGTCCTGCAAGACGATCACTTATAATCTAATAGAATATCAGTGATATGATCCTCTGTCAGATCATAAATTCAAAAACTACAAAGGTACTGAAAAGCAATGTGTCACTGTAGATTTCATGGTTAAAGAAGTAAAAAATAGTAAACCCATAGAGTAAAATAGAAAGCCATACTTTTAAATACGTTGGGATTGATTTATTACAAGTGGGTTAATGCCACTTTAATAACAATAATGAGAAAGAGGAGAAGAAGCAGCTAATGACAATGTATTGCAGACATCTGTCATACTGAAGAAGAAATTATAGGTAGAATGAGAAATGAGTGTTAGTTTGTAATAAAATATTTGAGTTATATCCTGGATCCTCCAATGGTGTCAGGTTTTTCTTTTGCCTGTAGTTTTCTTATATCGAGAGAGGAACTAATCTTGTAATTATGAGAATTTATTGTATTTCTCCTTTCTCCCTCTTTATAGAGAATGCCATGTCAGCACAGTGGAAACTGTTGAAATTATCATAGTTCCTAAAACTAAAAAAATGATTTTAGGACAGGAAAAAGATTTTCACAATCCAATTGACTGAAAAAAAATATTTGTGTGAATTCATTTGGAAACAATGACAATATATAATGATCTAATGATAGTATCTGATAACTTATATTCAGTGGGGAAAGGCCTCATTAAATATACATGCTCCCGTGTTTATTAACTGATTACCTTCAGGAAGAAAATAGAAACCTAAGTGTGTGACCTGGAATGGCAGAGAGACCAATACTTTTTGGTAGCAGTGATGCAGGACTTCTGGGGAACTGAGAAAAAACAGGTTGGAATAGAATTACATTTATTAATAATTATGAGAAAATCTGTCTGTCTGTATATATATCTATAGCTAGCTAGCTTTATATTTTCCACAGTATACTTTTCTCTCTTTTTTTTTTTGTTTCTTTTACTTCACTGTTCCCTCAACATCTGAAGTGGTAAAATAGTAAGTAAAGATTTTTTTTACTATTTTTACTATTGCTAAAGAAACTTATATATAACATATATCTTATGACAACCAATGAAAAACTGCTTGCATGGGTCTAATTCTGCACATTATATTGCAAAGAAATAATGCTATAAGTTTACCACATCTTGTATTTATTAGTCCTCTGTGGATTAAATAATTGTTTTGAGTACATTATTGCTGCAAAAAAAGTGTTACATAAAATAGCAGTTTCATCCTTCATATTTCTAGAATGATCAGAAATTTGAGTGAAAAATCTTGTAAGACTTTTTAAAAACTGCTGTATGTCCTTTATGTCTGAAATCTCTCTCTCTCTCTCTCTCTTTCTCTTTTGAATGTTTTTCTTTATGCAATTTGATGGACAATAATAACTGGGAGTATGACAAGTTCCTTACTTTGGAATTTTTCCCTCCTTCCCTCAAATATCTGTTTTGTTTTTCAAAAGAGCCTCTCCTATGTAATCAATTTAATCACTTGCTTTCTTTCCAGTCAACTCTTTTATCAGTTTCATTGACTTGGCTTATTGGTTTCAAAAGAGACTTTCTCATATAAACATTTCTCCATATGAAAGACTGTAGAATAAAAGTTTTGTGTTATGAATTAGGGTCAAAAAAGGTTTGTTAAATTCTTATGATTTTCTTTCTATCCTCCTAGAGATGGAGGAAAAAATGCTGGGTAGAAAGACTAAATAACCTCCAAATAGCTAAACCAGAGAAATTATAGAAAATTAGCTTTTTACAATTATTTTTCAGTGAGGAATCCTTGGAAGGATTAAAGAATCTCACATCTTGTTTGTAATAATACCTTTTTAAATGCTATAAATAGGTTTTATGTGCTGTAAGAAAGTTATATGGGAAAGGAAATGAACAAATAATACGCAGAGAAAAGATTCTTCTTGTGAATCAGTTCCCCCATCCATTATTAACGACATTTTAAAGTTCTATGAACTTGACTTTCACAACCAAAACTATGCAGCAGATAAATAATTGTCTTACTTCCCCTCCTTTCCACCCCACCATACATTACTGCTAACTTTTTCTCTAAATAGTCCCAAAGGTGCTTTTTCAAAAGGCAACTAGAATTTCTT